GGGGGTAGATTTTGGTTATATATATGTAGGTGGCATTTGGTGCTAGTCTTCAATAGGACATCTCTTCTCTTTTTTTCTCTTTCTACAAAAAAAAAAAACTTTATTTCTCTGTCAACAATATTACCTTTGATAAAACTATAGGTTATAACATTTTATCCCAAAGTTTATATTTTTATTGTTTTATTTCTTGAAATAACATGGGGAGACAACCTTGTTGTGACAAAAATGTAGTGAAAAAAGGTCCATGGTCATCTGAGGAAGACAAGAAGCTTACTAATTTCATCCTTAATAATGGTCAATGTTGTTGGAGATCTCTCCCTAAACTTGCAGGTTTTTTCCTTTCTTATTCTTCCTCTTTTATTTACAATCGAACGATATCGAAGTCAGGAATTTAATTATATCGTGGAATTTAGAAAATTATTAAAACATCACATTTGTGACTTAGATTTATACTTGTGACGTAAAGTAATTGCTACATTAGAATCTTTCTTTTATGTCAGAGAAATTCAACAATTTATGATATATGAAGAGGGAAACTTGTTTTTTTACTTGAACAGTATAATTTTTCAATAAAGGAAATTCCGAGGTCTCAACATCTTTGAAATGAAAAGGAATTGTTAGTTTCAATGATTGTACGAACCCCATTGGTCCAATTCTCATAAAGAAATCCAAACATGGGAGAAAATATATGGTTTTGTTAATAAAATTGGGTTTTTATTAAAATTAAAAAAAATGACGGATAATAAATTTATTGACTTGATAGAAGATATCTTCACCAGATAACTCAGAAATACTATGATTCTTGTAATCTTGTTTTTATTTATTTATTATTTTATTATTTATGTTGGTGAGTTTATTTTATTCCTTTAGAAAAAAATTATTAATAATTTTGGTGGATGTCATATTTTGCGCAGGGCTATTGAGATGTGGAAAGAGTTGTAGATTGAGATGGACAAATTATCTAAGACCAGATTTGAAAAGGGGACTTTTATCAGAATATGAAGAAAAAATGGTTATTGATCTTCATGCTCAACTTGGCAATAGGTACATTTTTTTTTACATTCATACTATGTCGGAGTCAGCATTTTTATTAAGGGAATTCAATTTGACCTATTTATACTAGTTTGGAGTTAGCATTTTGGGTGATTCAATCATAGGTTCATGGGATTATCATAATCTACTTTCTTTTGTGTGTGTATGTGTGTGAACGCGAAAAAAAATATTCTAAATAGAACCTTTTTTTTTTTAGAAATTTACAACGTTTAAATTCTGTATTCGTTGTGGCATATATATGTTACATGTGGAGCTTATTTAAAAAAAACTTCTACCAAAGAAAAAGAAAAAGAGTGACTTCAAATGATAGTTTAAAGTGGCAGACAACAATTTCTACTCAATTTTAGGCACCCATACTCCACTGTATACCTTTTTTTTTTCACTTTCTTATTTTGTATACATTAATTTCTTTTTGGCTATTCATTACACTATTTTACATAAGTGGGGAAAAGGTAAGTGAAACTTTTCAATATAAAAAATAATAATTTAGTGCATAAAGCATCTCTTTTATACACATTTGAGGAAGAATTTCACTTCAAGGGAGTCTATTCTGATATGAGCAGTAGCTTACTATAAATATGTTTATTATAGCATGTTAATTGTTCCTCATTTCATTTACTTGTCCAAAATTATTTTCAGGTGGTCTAAAATTGCTTCTCATTTGCCAGGAAGAACTGATAATGAAATTAAGAATCACTGGAATACACATATTAAGAAGAAGCTCAAGAAAATGGGAATTGATCCAACCACTCACAATCCAATAACTAGTGACCAGCCAACAAAAAATCAACAAGAAACACAAATTCCTATAGGGGCAACAATTATAGAAATCAAATCAGAAGCAAAACAAGAAGAAAACAAGAACATTGGTACGACGATAACAACAATAATTACGCCTCAGTTTCAAACAAATCTGAGTCCGCAAGAAAATGAGAACATTGGGACTTGTACAAAAAACATCAACTCAATTGATGAAGTCATGAATGATGACTTTTGTACTAATGAAGTCCCCTTAATTTCACCAAATGAAATTTTAGTCCCTCATGAATCAACAACATCATCAACATCTTCATTTTCTTCTCAATCATCCATCAATATTCTTGAAGACTTTTTACCAAATTGGCAATGTGATTTCAACATGGAAATTAGTTGGGCAGATGATGATTTCAGAAGCACTTTGGATTATTTACTCAATGATGATGATGTTAGTGACATGAACAACACCACCATTTCCCAAGATTGGTCACAAGTGTTGGAAGTTTGAGATAACACACTATTATTAAAAAAAAAAACGTGAATTTTCGACAAACATTTCATTAGAAATGAAAATTGAAATTCACGTGTTTTTAGCGGTGACAGTTATTGTTATTAACTTTTCAAAGGAGAGCAAAATTAAGCTCTTTCTTTTGATTGGCCAGTCACTTTTTTTTGTATCGTCTATAGAAGTTTAGATGGTAGAGTTGTTACTATAGTTCATGGACAATAAAAAATAAAAATAAAACAGATATGTTTATGGAGACAAATTACATAAAAACCCTCATCAAATATATTTATGTTATGGATGATAATACAAAGTGTACGACTCTTTTCAATTTTAGTTTTATATATATTTTAAATTTCATAAATTTATTTGTTGGTATTGAAATAATCAATCTGGTGCATAAAGCATTTTGCATAATCAAACCTGTGAAGACCCGCATCTCAAGTACTACTAATGCAGATAACTTATCATAATATAATTATTTTCTTGATTCAAACGCGTAGTCTAAAGATAACAGAGATAACTTTGATATTTTCTTTACAATAATCATTCTACCTAACTGATTAAGACGTCGAGTTACTCTATGAACTTTCTCACGAGTCAAATAATAACTTATAAGTTCATATATGAGAAATAGACAATTACATATATTAATTACGAAAGTCAAATATTATCAAGTGCATTTTATACTAATTTAATAAATTAAGTCGCAATTTCAAAGTGGAAATTAAACCTTCCTCAGTCCCAACTAGAAATTAAATTAGATAATTAAAAAAAAATAGTGGAAGATGCCAAACATTTAGAATATTATCATTGACTAAATGCAAAATTAGAAGAGTAGAAGTAACTTTTGCATAATTAGACTAAAATATATTTTTGTTATATAATAATAATTAAAAAATCATTTAGAATTAAAGTTTACTCTGATCTATGATAATATAATTTAGAAAATAAAAATTGCTACAGGATGTTGAATTGTGGTGGGATGATTGAAATCCCTCCATTCTTAATTAGAGGTTTCTTGAGTCCTGCATAAGGAAAAAATTATGATGGAAGCACAACACTCAAGCAATGCACACAACTAAAAAAATCACAATTTTTTCACTAAATAATGTTCAGTGCTATTCCCACATATATTTCGATTGAATCAGTGTGAATAAGAATAATTATTTCATACGAAAAAATTAGAAAACTTCCTACTATTTCAGTGAAAATCTATTTCTCACCATTCATTTTCGAGTGAGCTAATTTGATTGCGAAAATGAATGAAAAAAATAATATTCTATATTGTACAAATTTTCCACCAATGTGCGGGGGGGTGGGGGTGGGGGAGGGGATAAAAAATCAGGTGATAGACGGAAAAAAAAAAAATGCAAACTCACATATGACGCAATCCATTTAAGAATGTATACAGATAGATACCTCTTGACTATGCATAGAATAAAACATATATTTTTATCACCATTCTTTTTTTTTAAAAAAAAGTCTTTTTCGTATACAAGTTGTAGTATTTTGTAACATAATTGCAAAATAAATAAAAAATTGTATTAGTTGTTTTTGACGAAGGTGGTGTCCGAGCTAGTTTGCCGTATGCCTCAACTATTTTATGTTGTACTCCTATTAAACTATGTTTTAAAACTATGCCCTCATTTTAAATCTTTATTAGGAGGTTAAAGAACAAACTAGATACTTTTTCTTCAATTTTCGCATACTATCTTATTTTTAATTTTTTATTACTATTTGTTGTTTCATTTACGTTGACGGTCTTTCAATTTTGTTGTTATTATTTTTCTTTTAATCATGTTTTATTATACTTCTTTTTAATGGACGATCTGTTGAGTTGTTGTTGCATTAATGATATAGTTCCTCATCTAAAAAAATTAACTCATTTTATAATAATATAGTTTTTTCAAACTTTGCAACACTGACTTTGATACCAGAGTTATATGTGTAATAAACAGCATTAATTGTTACAAGAATAATACTCTATGTAGCTACATTTTTCCATGGTGTGAAGTGTGAACTAAGGAGTAATATTTTTAAAAATTTGGCCAGAAAAAAAAAACGTCTTTAAGTGATATTTATTTGAAATCTTGTTAGTTAATTTCTTTGATTGACAAGAAAAATTCACAGTTTCATATTATTATCTAAAACAACATCAGAAAGGTAAACTAACCACACTAGGTAAGTCTCATACAACAGTTTAACCAAAAAAGTATGTTAGTTGCTATTGTCAAATTAGTTGGTTTTTAAATTGATAATTAGATAACCTAATGATATTTCCAACTAAGAATATGGTATGATTACAAATTCAATGATGTTGTTGGAAACATATATTATTCCAAATACAATTAACTAATTGACTCTTCGTGCGTTTGTTCAGTTTTATTTCTTTAAAAAAATATTTGTTAGAATATATCTATCAAATATTATTAAATAAGACACAAGGTAGGAATTATTAAATGAACCAAATTGCAAATCATCCTAGTTGTTAGGAAATAACAAAAACATAATGTCGCAATTAAGTCAATAATAAAGAATTCCACCAATAAGGATTGTGGTGAATAGAGAGGGTTCTCCGCTTCTTAATTAGAGAACACAGTTCACGCTTCGAATAAAATTTTTTGTAAGAATATACTTTCTGCTTAAAAAAGCTTTTATGCGGTGTGAATTTAGATTAGTCGAGAGGAAGAGTGACAATACGAGTACTAAACTCGGGAAATTAATCAAAAAAGATTTATATTTATGATATATGAATTATAGGGCTTTGATATATCAGGAGGATTTCAAAGATGGCTTTTATTTTTGTATAGAATAAAGTCTTACACTAACAAAATAGTGACATATATATGGGTCCAAATTAGTTCAAAATCTTGAAATTAAGTTTCCTAATTTTGAATTTTTGGTAATTAAGTGTGATTTTAGATGAACAATTATAAGTCAATTTTAGGTCTATTTAGTTGAAATATTGTGGTTTTCATTCTACTTACTATATAGATTATTTTATGTTTTTCCCCTTATGTTGATGACGCTAAGCAAGACCACCAACTCGTCAAGGAATATGATGGGATGATCGGAGTCTCTTCGTCCTTAATTAGAACAGTAATTACGAATTTGAGTCCTAAAAATAATATAATTGTAGAAAATATTTTATCGATCTATTTAGAATAAATTTGAATTAATTAAATCAATAAGCTATAAATATCGAATATAGTCAAAAAGGAAAAAATAATGTTCGAAAATTGCGTGATTTTCTCTATGGTAGAGATGTTGCTTAAAGATGTAAATTTTGACTTTAATATTTAGCCATTTGTTCCTTTCCCACAATTTTTTTTCTTTTTCTAAAACAAAAGGACCACCTATTTACTTTAATATTTATTTGTTTTTTTGGGAGATCTTGGAAAATCATAAATTAATGAACTTTGAGATCGAATCAGGGTCTTCTTTTTGGTTTGATATTTGTTTCTTCCAACAACCTTATAGACAGAGGTAACTTATCCGCGTTCAGTTGAATTCACTATTTTTGATCATATATATATTTAAAATATTAATATTTTAATAAATATATATTTTGAACATATCCAAATTATAATATTAAAAGTTTTAAGAAATTAAAATTATTAAATTTAAAGTCTAAATCCGTCTTTTGGCCAAAAGGAATCTCTTTGGTTTTGCGTGTGTGGATCTTTATCTTTAATGAATTAGATGAGAAGATTCGAATCTTATATATATATATATATATATATATATATTTGAATTGATGGAAAAACTTATTAATTCTTTATAGAATATATATTAATAACTCTCTGGAAAATCGTCTTTGCCTACCTAAGATTCCTTAATTTGATTATGTAATTGCTTATGTATGCAAGTAGCTTTTGTCTAAACAAATTTGTGTTTCTAATTTATTTATTTTGTAAAATTACTACCACGACTTCTATCGACCCCAAAGAAAGAAAAGAACGAATTCACAAAGGGTGGTTAAATGAGCAATTTAGGTTTTTTATTCGAGTCATCAAAGTATTTTGTTTTGAAAGATGAATTTTAAATGAAGTAATTAGTATGATTTGGTTTAAATATTAAATACGAAAAAGTTTTCACCATTTTAGTAGTTCCTATATGATTTCATTGTGACTTTTTTTTCTTTGTTAGAATAATAATTGTTTGAGTCTCTAATATTTATATTAGATTAGGTTTTTACATCCTTAACTGGGGTGTGATTTATATTCGAATCTTACATAAATATAAAATTTCTTGTGCCTCGAGTTGTGTCACTCCGATGAAAACACATACATAAATACTCTCTCCGTTCATTTTTACTTGTCACCAATTTAACTTGTCATAACCATTAAGAAAATAATTAATGATATAGGTATATTACCAAATTATCCTCATTAAACGATGTCTTAGAAAATGATTTGAAAAGCAAGTATTTAATGCTGAGGGTAAACCATTGAAAAAAATTATTGTCTTTTCGTCAAAAGTAACAAGTAAAAATGAAAATCTATTTAGAATAAGTGACGAGTAAAAGTAAACGGAGGAGAGTATTAGAATAACCTAATTAATAATCTACCTATGAATATAAAACAAAGCATTTATCCCTTTTGACTAAACCGTACATAGTACAAATTGAATTTCGACTGTTAAATATGAACACTAGATTTAGATGGTGATTTTTCTCAACATTTTTCTTACAACGCAATTGACTTTGATTTTATTAAATGAATGCAATGACCACATTATGGTAAAAGTAAATGAGCATTATGTTCCATCATTTTTTTATTTGCACGATTGTGTTTCTATAAAATTAAATAATGTTGTTTAGTAGCGTGTGGCGAGTAGTCGTCTTATTTAGTTGACAATTACAAGACGCCGTGATATGTATGAGTCAAGATTTTACTTAGTGGTCCAAAAGAATAATTTGATTTACTGTAGATTAATTTTCTCTCATAGATCTCTGTTGATATTTATTTTCTACCATCGATCAATTTTTTTTATAAAAAATTGTTCATCTGATGAACATTAGATATTCGAAACTTTATTATGTACTTTATACTGTCAAATCTAGTAAAATTTGAACTGATCAATATAATATGTTACGTGAATTGAAATAAACTATAGGTTAAAATGTGCTAAGTAATAAGTCATGTACTTTCTTAATGTAATTAA